AAAATTACAGGCCTCTCTCATCTTTTTAAGTGGGAGAACTTGCACAATTGGTGGCTGACTAAATACTTTTTTGCCCCACTGTATAATGAGAGAAAACTGCCTTTCTCTCACTCTTCCCCACAGTGGTACTCCCCAACGCCCCCACCCCCGCCATGGCCATACTGACTGGAAAGTCTGGGAATACCAACACATTTAAGAGGACATCAGCCTGGTAAAGGCAGCTGTACATATTAAGATTTCTAATTTATTCCCTAGGTTAGAGGCAGAGAAAACTGAAATGCCTCACAATTCACAAAAAGCACGGTCTTTGGATACCTGTTCACCTCAATTTTTCTCTCCATTAGCCACTAAAAGGAAAAAGTTTGTGGGCAATCATCCCAGATTTCTTTTTTAACATGGGATACTGATCATTTAGAAGTATGCAGAAATTCTCAGATTGGAATTTTACAGGAAACTTTTTCAATGAAAACATCGCAGGGATTAGTAACTCTAAGAAAATGCACATCTTTGTACAACCAAAATTTCTGGAGCTTTAACTCGGACCTATTCATGTATTACTGCAATATAAAGCAAGGGTATTTTAGGAGGTATTTGTTCTGCCATTAAACCCAACTGAAAATAGGACAATATCTTAGAGGACAATGACAGCCCTAGAGGAGACATCTAGTCCTAACAAAAACTCTATTAAACAATGAAATGCAGAATAATTAAGAATATTTTGACTGACCTTTGATATCTAACTCAAGCTCTTCAGTAAAATATGTTTTTATATCCTTATTTGAAAGTTCTGATGTTGATCCAGGAAAAGTTGGGTTTTCTGGCATAAGCCTGAACAAGTGATACAATAGTTTATTCAAACTCTTAGTTCTTCGAAGATATTGTGAATAAAGAGCCCGTAACTGGAGGAAAAATAACATGTAAAATAATTCCCAATAAAATTTGCTACGAGAAGCAAATGAACTGATAGAATGTACACAATGAATGAGTGTAATAGTTTTCAAAATATATTAGATCAGAAATTCCTTGTGTAAACCATGTTTACACTATTATAAACAACCTAATACTATTTCATTGCTCAGGATCAAATTCTCAAACAAAATCTGCATGAAACATTTTAATAAAATAAGAATTCTTAGTGGGAAAATGCCACCAGAGTTCATACATCCACAGATCATGAAGTAAATAGAATAGAGAGAGGCTCACTTAAAAGTATGTTTTCATTTATTTGATTTCTACTCTCAACTTTTTGTTCCAGTCAGGACTTACAGAAAGGCCTATGCAAAAAAAAAACAAAAAAAACCCCACTACATTATACTAGAGATCATTGGTAGCATTCTTTTTCCCGGCATCAATAGATTAAATTGTTAGGTGCAGTATGATACAGATGATGGGTAAACACTACATCCATACAATATTATACCTACAGACATTCACATCTTCTAAGCAACCTGAAATTGTGCATTGTGTCTACAGAAAGCCTGAATGCATATCTTATTTGTCTACCAAATAGTTTATATTTCAGTATTAACATCAAAGCAAATATAATAAAATATTTGCTTATTAATATTTGCTTTATTATTAATAAAATAATAAAGGAGCTCAAGATTGCTTTCCTATTTCTAAGTGTGGAATGATTTTTTCCATGTTCTTATAGCTAGAAATATGAGAATACTTTTAAGTTCCTAGCTCCTGACAAAATAACTTCCCAGTATATGTATTTGAATTGCTTTTAGTAAAATGTTTATTAATGTATATAGATCAGCTTTTAACTGGACTAGTTTGTAACCTGAAGGACTCACAGGCTGATGGTGGGGAAAAATAAATTATTTACCTGGGAAGATGCTGCTTTGAAGAAAGTTAGAATTAATTTCCAGGTAAGAAGATATCCTAAAACAAGGCAAAAGTCCTCACTCATTGGCTGAATTACTGCAAATTCTCCAACTGGAATGCATTCTAGGATGTTTTCTAATAAATCTTCTTGAGCGGTAAGAACAGTCATAAGTGCTGCTGGTGGGGACCTAAAATAAAGGGAGGAAGGTACTGTGTGTAGAAAAAGAATAATATTTTTCTTTCTACACAGACACATATACTACATGCACACTCCTTAAGAAAGGCTTTATGCTTAAAATAGATTAAGCAATAATAGGAGTAACTTTCATGACATGATGATAGGTTTTATTCTTTTCAATCCTTGGCTATCCATGGCATCCATATACAATGGAATCTCGGGTTACGAACGCTTCTGTTAACGAACTTTTCGGGTTACGACCAGCTCCGACCGCAAAATTTTGCTTCGGTTTGCGAACTCCACCTTGGGGTACGAACAGGATACGCGGCCATTTTCCCTCCCGTGACACGGTCCGCGGCCATTTTCCACCCCTGGCACATGGTCCGCGGCCATTTTTCCGCCCCTGAGACGTGGTCCGCGGCCATTTTTCGCCCCTGACATGTGGTCATAGGGAGGGGGACTCTCCCTCCAAGCAATAGCCGCCTCCCTGTCCACCACCCC